ATCTTCTGATGTTTTATACTGTGCTGTTAACATTGAAAAATATTTGAACAACGCCAGCAAAACATGACTGCTGAGCTCTATGTCCATGGAAGCCTAGAGGCTGAAAGGTGTGAGGATGCATATAAGTGAAAAATGAAAGTACCTTTTAATGAAATAAAGATGACATCTGAAATGTGATAGTGCTGTTGCACCCACCTTCAGCAGAAGGTTTAATAAAAATCAATTTGAAAAGAATCAGATTATTTATTATGAAGTGACGTAATTACAGGGGGCCGTTTGGGGGATTAGATTCCATTAACAGAAAAATAAAATCTTATACCTTCTCCTACTTGAGACACTGCTGCCAGTGAAGACACTGTAGATGGATGATGTAACTTCCTAAACCAGAGGTTTTTAAAGTGTGAGGTGGGCCTCAGGGAATGGAAGTGAAACAGTATTACATTAGTTATCAAAAAGAGTTCACATGATTTTTTAAAGACAGAGTTCAGTGATACAGTAGTTTTGGGGAACTGAGCCAAAAACTAATAAATACCTTAGGACATACCTTTTTTTATTTGGTGTAGTCTGAAGATATGTCAAACAGTGATATTAGGCTATCTTGGCTCAATTGTTGAGTGTATGTGTATGGGATGAAATAACATAATTGTGATCCCATAGGCATCTGGCAATAGAGGGAAACTACACAAGTAAACTGGGGGGAAACCCACAGTCTCAGACTTTGAAAAGCCCAGTCCTAAATTGACTTTACCAGGACAATCTCCAGGAGTGAGAGGATTGTACAACACGGGATCCAGAAAAGCTCCACTTCTCAATATTTTTTCACAGTAACAATAAATAAAGTTACTACATGTAATGCGAAAGGGATTTCTCACAAATTCCTTCCAAATTTAAAGAGGCTAATCTCTTTTTTTAACCTATCCTGCCCAGGCCAGGCAAGGCGTAAACCAACCCCACGGGGCTCCAGGGGTAGGACACGAGGCCAATGAGACCCCCCACACCCTCAACCCCCCTGCCTGTCTCTGCAAGTGTATTGTATTGCGTTGGATGCATGTCATGGTTTGTGAAGTGTTGTATGGTGGAGTGAAGATAGGTGTTTAAATTGGAGGGTAGTTGCAACGCAGGCACCTCACAACTGGCAGGTAGTGGAGCCTCCCACCCCCCAAGCCCTCTGTGTCTAATGTGTAATTAAAATTGTATAATTAAAATTGAGGGATGGCCAGTGGGGGAGGAAGAAGGTTGAGACACACCAAATGAGACATGACTGAAGGGGTAAGGTAAAAGAGGTCATAGGGAGGCTAGACAGGTTCCTGACTGGCCAATTTTATGGATGCAAATTCACTGTACCGTTACCTGTCAAAGACCAAATGACAAGGTTGGCAACTAGCTAGTAAAGAAAGTCCCACGTCCAGCAGCTATGGAAATTTTCCTCTCAGGATCGATGGAGGCCAAACCAGACCTAGAAAGAGAGGTAATATTTTACTTAAAAAGATCAGGCCTCCAAAAACACTAAATAAAAACTAATGTTGCACTGACTCTGCTGAATGCCTAAATAGGCAACTGTATGGAAACATGTCAGCCATGGCAACTTTATATTGTAAGGCAATCATTTTGTATGTAAGTGTTCTGTCTGTAAGGTTGTTTTGGAATTTCTCTGTCCTCTAATGGACCCCATTATTATGACAACAGGGTGTGGGAATCAGATTATAGAAACACACTGTTTAATTCACAGAATGAATGAGCAAATGTGAGAGAAACAACCCTCCTTATTGAACTCATTTGCATTAGGAAATGTGTATGGTTCACTGCCTTGTCCTCCTGTAATGGAAATGGGGGTCCAAACAGTTAACTCAGTGATCATCTTTGTAAGCTAATGCTGACTCTGTTCACTTGACTGATCTCTCAAGTATTTTGGTGAGTCACTCCAGTTATCCCTCCTTTCTTTGCTCTCTGTTGGACATGTTAACTCAAGCCTCTGTTTATACCTCCACGCAGTGGGACAGCATCCTCCTCCAATGCTGGCTCCACCATTGTGGCAAGCTAAGGTTGACAAGGCAAGTTTGTTTATATAGCAATTCAGTGCTTCACACAAAACGTCAAAAGCCTTGAGACAAAGTGCAAAAGAAACACAACACAAAAGAATGTTAGTCATTAAAGAAAGAAAGAGAATAGAAAATAAAATTGAAGCTAAAATAGTATAAGACATATACACACATATACAAAATACAAGAAAAAAGTTACAGTGCAGTGTAATAAATTTATAATTATTTAATTTATTAGATTTTTCATCAAAAAACAATAATTATTAGTCCTGATACAGCACCATATGAGAAAGCTACCCTCTGGTTAATAGTGCTACCTCACCTTTCTGGTAATCCACCCACGGTTGGGAAAAATACAACAAACACCCCTTTGTACAATGAGATATCAGAGGTATGACGAGGGAAGACGTGTCAGGTGAAGTTCCGCCTGATAAATAAACTGAATCACTTAAACATTCAGTGGGTGAAATGTAACTACATGCTCATGTAGCAGCCTAAGCCCAAGATCAATAATCACACGCCAGTGGATGTGAATGAGTAACATTTTCCTGACACATCACTTAATTTGATTACAGGCTTCCAGATGTAATCAAAGCCTGTGCACTGTGGTTCTCTGTCTATACTGTGTGTGTGTGTGTGTGTGTGTGTGTGTGTGTGTGTGTGTGTGTGTGTGTGTGTGTGTGTGTGTGTGGTTAAACAGAGGAACCAGAAAAAAGCTCTCAGGGGAAAAAAACTTCCCCACAATCCAGAGCAACAGGGTTGCCTCACTCAAATGGAACAATACAGAGAATGGTTTTGTCATCATTGTGAAATAGTCCTGTCCTCATTATAGCAGGCCGGTACAGAGGCACCGAGACAAGGAAGTGGAGTCGAGCCCATTTTTACTGTCTTGGGTAACGTCCAACATATAAAGTACATACAAGCACAAGCACACAGACGTCTGTACTGTGTTGTCTAAATGCATGATAGAAGACCATCTGTGTCATGTGAATGCTGGCAGAGTCAGTCCTTGTAGTTGGTTCTGTCCAAAGGGGTCGAAAGGAGTGACAGCGAGAAGGTGGTAAATTCACAAAGAGGAAGTAAAAGTCTGATTACCTAAAATGGATGTAAAAGTGATTGACTTATCAGTGTTTACTGTAGGGGGAAGTATTGAGTAAATAGTGCGTCAGTGGCATTCAGTCTTATTTGTTGATGACAGTTGTTATTGATGGTGCAAGACAGAGGGTCACATATATTTTCATGGACATCAAAAATGTTTAACAAAAGAGATGTGGTGTGGACATAACATAGCAGCCCAGTGAAAGTTACTGTTACCACCCCTTGTTTTTTCAAGATGTCTTTGAACCCTGTCAGTCAATGCTGTTGGTCCTCAGATCTCACTAATATTGGTGTACAGCAGTTGGATTCCTGTTTAGTATTTTATGTGACACTGTCAATCTGAATGGCTGTCTGGACAGTTGTCACACACAATAAACACATTTTAGTTCCTTAAACAGTTAAGTCCACACAAAAAGATTTTCATTCAGTTCATAACATAACTCTGCTCATGACCACAAAGTCCCCCTGTATAAGTAATGCATCACCAAAGATGCAACATTAAGTGTAAACATGGAAAACACAGGGCATCCAGTCTTCTAGTAGGGATGCCAAATGATTCTATGGGCAAAACATGGAGCTAACAGAAAACACCAAACACGATGCATCTATCTGCATACGATACACCAATTCTCACAGTGTTTTCAGTGTCTTTATTGCATTTACACGAAAAAAAATTTCTCTGGGCATCTTCACAGACTACATTTTTGGCTAAATAAATATGATGTAATTTAATGATGGCTGAATTCCATTTAGCTGATCAGTCTATGGGTGCTGCTATTGTGCTTGCTGGGAAACTTGAGTGAAACACAGCCATTATTAATGTTAAATGTGTTTTTCCCACTATGAAAAGTCAACGTCTGCTGTGAAAAGGGCCTACTGTGGTGAGTACATTGTTGTTACTTGTGTTGAGTTTAAAAGCATTTCTTGATTTACATTTAAACCCAAGTAAATATTAATTTTTTATTTCTTTATTATTGAAAACGTTCTTTATATGTTCAAGCATATGCTGGACAAATGGGATGTTTCAGCACACCTGCTATGCTGTGTCTGGGTTCCATTAGCATTTATTTGGAATTATTTAATTGGAAATGTAGCCTACTGTCTGTACCTGTTACCTTGCTGTTAGGTCATTGTGGACTAAGACAAGAGGTGGAGCTTGAGGGAAAGCCATAAGGGAGTGCACGTGTCACATCCATAGAGGTCACATAGTCATTTATAAATGTAGCAGTCCTTCTTCTTCCCCAATTTTGTTATGCTTTTGGTCTTTGGATATTAAAGTATATAGGCTAGTAGTCGGTGAAAGTATCTTAACGTTAGATATGACTTGTGTTGTTATTAACATTACTGTGTTTTTAGCACAACACAAGCACACCTGAAATGTTTTAATTTCCTGTATATCTTTCACATAAATGTAGGCTGTGGCTTTAATGACTCCCATCCCCCATACTGTTTTTTTGTTACACCTTTGAAGAACTAGGCTATCCCTCTTTCCAGGAAACCCCCTATGACATGTTTAAGGCCTATTTGCAAACTCTCCTTACCCACTGGCTTTGTCATCATATGATATTATAAATCTAAACTGCTGGGTGTATTTTCAGTTTCCAAGGCAGAACAAATAAAGGGACCAGTGCAAGAAAGTAAAACTCAATGCAAATCATCTAGGGTGTTTAAAGATTAGTAGGCCACTTTATGTCTCAGTCGACAGACGCCAGCGACTGGAGAACATTTCACTACAGCAGTTAAATGCAAGAGGCAAAACAGCCACAATATCTCCCAACACACTTTAGATGTCTCCATCTAGCAACAGCCCCGAGAGTGAAGGGGTTAATGAAACTGGAAGTACAGCCCTGAGTCCCCTCCCTTCTGCTCTCCCTCTCCCTGTCTGGGGCCTGGGTCCTGGGTCCATCCGTCTGGGAAGAAAGTGAATGAATCCCGAGCCTTAAACGCTATATGTGACCAAATTATGCCACAGAAACTCCCGTCGGCGTCGGCAGGGTTTAAACAAACGCCACACCTCCCAACATTGGAAAGAAGAAGCTACGAGAAATACTTATTGTCGCACGATGTAAAGGTGAGTGTGGATCCGATGCTCTCGTTCGTTGAGTTATCCATTTTTATTACTGTTGCTAAAAGTTACACAGTAGCCACCGTTTTTAAAGGTTCTGTTACACCATCCTGCTGTGGTCAAAGTGAGTAACGTTAGCCCGCCCGGGGTTTTAGTAAAACGTTACTGCGCGGCGGTGTTGGCGAAACAACGGTAAAATACGTTTACTGTGAGAACAGAATGGTCAAACAGGGTCGACACCCCAGCGTCTGTTACTGTCTGAACCAAGCTATAAAAGAGTTAAAACAAAGCCAGAACTGTTTAGTGTTGGAAATTCCACTCCAGACACGGTCATTCACACTGTATGTTGTACAGAGCTTTGTTGAATGAAGTTTTCACATACTTTACTGTGAAAACCTGCTCTGTACCTTTTAGGCTGGACTGTAAGAAGAACCACACACGCCCATGCTGTGTGGCATCTTCACATAAATGTCCCTTTGCACCTCTGGATTGCACTACTCTGCTGTAACAGGCTTGTGAGTGACTGTGTGTGAAGCATGACTTTTTTTATATGCAGTCTATGAGCATGACACGCCAGTTTCATATATAATCTGGAGATTTTTGCATGTGTTCAACTGTCATGATGGGCATAATTCAGTCTCATGCCATGCATTCTTTGGTGAGAGGGTATTCCCTACTGTCCGCACCCCCCCCCCACGAGGCCTAGGCATGTTTGCAGACTACACACTAAGATACTTTGTTGGTGTGTATCCAAGGATATGTCTCTGTGAGTATTTAATGCTTACATTCTTGAGTGGTCACATAGGTTATATGTAGATAATTCATTTCTTGGGCATTTGTTTGAGTCCCAGTAGTCCTCCTCTACTCCCTGATCCAGCAAAGATCAAAATAAAATAGTCTCACTGCAGGGCGGCCTTGTGATCAGTGGCATGTTCTAAGTATGCAGGAAAAATATGCTCATTGGTCATGCTCAATGCATTTCAGAAAATCATTTCACCGTGTACAAACGTTTAATGAATAGTAAAATAATACTGTTTACTTTTAACGTTTGTAATGATCAATACAATAGTTTTTTAAAAAGGAAAAAGTAAGAAGAAAGTCATACTTCTTGAGGTTCTTGTTTTACACTCGCCATGTCTGCGCTTATCGTACCTCTTATCCTCGCAATGTGTTGACATTATGTAACTAGTGACTTTGAAAGGCAAGTCTGCTCTAAATTTTTACCATGCAACCCACCCATTCCTAGAATCCTCTATAAAGGTATTTTACTACAGTGAGATTTATGTTCTCTTACTGAAAAATGGGCTTGGATTCTCATAAAGAACAAATACTCTGAGCGGAAATGTTTGGTAATACTTACACAGATTACTTAACAGTAGAGCGCTGACTGGTGAGAGTCATACCACTTCTGATACCAGCTTAAAGATAAAGAGATATTGTGTCTTTTCAGGGTTAGTGTTATTTTACAGACAGGAATGGACAGGAATTAGATTGGGGTTTTTTTGGTAGGAATGTTTGTAAATTTGTCTTTGTTTTGTTTGTTTTCTGTTACATTCTGCGGGTATGTGATGTTGGTTTTAAATTTCTTGTGTCCCACCTCACATGCCTTTCTCTCCACAGTTTTTGACCTCACTGGAGCTGGTCTGACTGAAGTTTAGTGACCGACACGATGCGTTCTAGTGTGGGTGGACCACCGAGCCCCCTTGGCAGAGGAGGCACTGCCGGCAACAACAATAACCTCAACAGCAGTGAAAACAGTGGAAACTCAGGTTCTCAGTATGCACTATGTGCTCTGGGGGTTGGACTTGTTGCGCTCGGCATTGTGATGATTGTGTGGAGTGTCGTACCTGCGGACATGACCAGTAATAGCAGCAGCAGTTCAGGAGGAAATGGTGATACTGGTAGCAGGAAAAGTAAAGCGTCTTCTGTGGCCTTTGTCTTGGCGGGGTCTGGGGTGGTCATGCTGCTGCTGTCCTTGTGTCTGGGACTGAGGAACAAACGGCGGGAGCAGCAGAGACTTCAGGAGGTCCAGAACCACAGAGGAGTGGTAGCTAGGGAGCCGGAGGAAAGAGAAACGTAAGTCCAATCATAGCTTTCTAGCTAAACAACATTTGGACCATAAGATTGAAAACATTTCTTTCCAAAGATGACTTTGATAATTTTTTTTGGCCACATAAACTACCAATCTTGTACATGTGAGACAAAGTTGCTGGTGGATTTCTTTTGAACATTATTTTGTCTGCTCAAAAGTTTTCTTAAAATATTACACCACCTTTTTTCTATTATAAGGGTCACAGTTGGACAAAATGACATAACATTATTTTAAGAGCATTGTAATGATCAGTGATTGGATAGATAATCCAGGATACTGGCATTCTTTTTGTCAATGTTACATTACTGACTTCAGGATAAAACCGTTTAAAGCACAGATTGATTTCACTGAGACTTGAAACTTGGCTGCAAACAGCTTGCTTCCTTTTTAATTCAAGAATCTAACATATTCACATTATCCATTTAGCAACATCCATGTTTGATTTACTGACATAGCTTGTCAAGTCCATACTGTCCGGTGGACAGCTTTCAGGAATATTTCTCACTAGCTAGTGGATATTTTACAGTAATCACAAAAAGTGATTTGCATGCAATACAATTTTATGTTTTACATTAAATAATAATACATTATTCCCTACTTATTAGTTCCAGTACAGTACCTGGCAGTGTACACATAATGATTCATGTGTGTCATTGATATCTTTATGTTTGTATAAATACCTATAGGGCTGAAGAGCAAGCCCAGCGTTACGCTGTACCCACCTATGAAGAGGCAGTAGGCAGTGGCCAGTACCCTGTCCGTCAGAGCAACCATCGCCCAAGCAACTCCCAGCTACCATCCTATGATGACCTGGTCCAAGTTGATGGTGTCCAGTATGAATTTGAGGGGTCAGAGGACACAACTACCGGATCCCAGCCTGCTCCTGCTGCTTCCACATCAATTCATAGACCTGGGAAAAATAGCCGCAATCTCCTCCCTATTAAGATCCGCAGGATTAAATCAGAGAAGTTACACATGAAAAACATTGATAACTCTCAGCCAACACCTGGAATCAGTATAGAACCACTTACCCCACCGCCGCTGTATGAAGATAAAGTGCCTCCAATTTAACATAAAGCTGATTGGGGTTTAAACATTTTGCTGGAATTCCATGATCACATTTTGTGCATCTGGATCTGCCTTATTAAGGCGAGACCTGACGGTGGCTCCTCTTGCAGACAATCCTTTTTTATTAATTTTTTATTTTGGATCTCACTGGACCTCTAAAGTTGGACAGGCAGTAATGGAAATTGCGGGATCTTTCCTTACTTTGACAGATTCTGTCACACTGTGGCACATTAGGTTAAAAGCACACACCAAATGCAGTTTTCCTTTATGTGAAAGTCATTTTCTGTTTGTGCATTATCTTTATTATAACTTAGCTGCCCAGTGAACAGTGCACGGGGACTGTACATGTGAGTTAATGGCTGAAAAGATCATAGGACATCAATGAGCGGTTATAGTGAGGATTTATGTGCACACTTAAATAGATATGTGCAGGACAGTCATTTTGTGAAATAACTGCTGTGTGTATTCAGCTGGCTTGACCTGTATTGTCTTTCCTGGCCCTGCAGAGTTTTCCAGAAAATGAGAGAGTTTTGACAAATGGTAATCTACTGGACAGCACCACTAAAGAATCGACTATTTTTAACCAATGTAAAACAAAGCCTTGGCATGTATCAGCTACAGCTCCCATGACTCTTAGCCAAAGGCACTCTACAAAAATGTAATGGGAAATCCAGTAGTTGAATGCTATCAAAATATCGCTGGTTTTATCTTGGTTATAGTAATAACAGAAGAGAAAACCCTAGTTTTTTGTTTCTCTTCACAGAAAGATAAATGATAGAAACTCTGTACAGTGCCAGTGGTCTGGCCAAGGCTGGTGGAATGGAAGCTCGCTTGAAAATGGGGTGGGACTTGAGCTGTTCGTGTTGTGGGTGTTTCTTTACTGAGTAGGTAATTCAGGTCCAAAATCAATTAAAATTGCTGCACTTAGAAACACAGCTGTTTTATTTTATTTTTTTGCTGAATTCTAAACTTTTTTCACTATTTGCTTGTTTACTTTGTCTCTCTGATGCTTTGTGCTAGGCCGTCAGCATGTCTCATGAGACTCAACCATACAGTCTTAAGGGAGAGATCGGGAGGGGGCTGTTAGAACATCTACAATGGATTCGGTGGTTGAAATGTATGTTTACACTTAACCAGTGCAGCACCAGTGGTCACCATTAAGGTCACCATTGGGTTACTTTTTAAAAGAAATAACTTTCTGGGATGAATCCATTTTATAGGACGTTGAAGGTCTCAAGGAGAGGTAATGCTAACTGATTGCAGAGGTTGGCTTCCAGTGGTACACACTGAAGTGCCTTGGTGCTCTTCCTAAAACATTTCAGAATACATTATACCACTGAACCTGTGCTCTAATGTTGCTCTTCCATTGCATTGTTGTTTTTACTCTTGCAGACAGTGGGTAGAGAAGAAAGTAAGTGAGGGTTGAAAGCCTTTTCCCTGTAGCCATGGTGAACACTGTTGAGCTGTGAAAGAAGTAGTGTAGTCCCCGCTTCTATCTGGGCTTGTTTTTGTCCTTACTCGAGATGACCAACAGAAAGACTCTTTGACTGTGCAGCTGCGCCGTAATAACAGCAACTATTGCTCACTCGCTTGCTCATCACCATTCCTTCAACCACAGCCTGCAGCCCTGTTCTCACTCATGATGTACGCAGAGAAAGACTCTCTGTTCAGGGAAATGGTTTGAGTTCCATCACCAAACACCTTTTAATCAATACCCGTTAATGAACTCTCTTTTTTTCTTCAGGTTAGACTTGTTTAGATATGAACAGCTGAAGTCAAATGGAGGGATTTATCAGTCATTGAATTAAAATTTCTGTCAAGCAAAACTACAAGGTCACTTTCATGTCAGAAACAACATATACAGTTCATTTTCTAAGTTTAATTCTTTGTATCATGTTCAATACTGCAAGTATTGTACCTCATTTACAAAAGACCATTAAAATAAATAATTTCTATGTATTCTATGTTATTTCTATGTAGTCAAAATGTTTTACATTGATGAAACATTGAGTGTTTTGATTTAACAGTCACTTTCTGTTTTAATTAGATGAGTGCCTGAAACATACTGTTTGTTTTTAGTTTTATTATATGCTTTTTATGAATTGATTTTATATTTCTTTTTTATTTACTGTGAAAATAGAATTTTCTATGATATTTCTTGCTATATTTTTCTGAAGATTGAAAACAAATGTATCTTATGAATATTTTATGAGAAATAAAAGGACGTATTTGTTAATTAACCCAACATTTAAGAAGAATTTTGCTGTGAATAATTGTGTATAATTGCATGTTGACTGGTGTGCCATAACCCCCTGAACATTTTAAAATCCATATATTCTAACTTTGTTACTGTTGACCAATTCTTAGTTAATATGCTGCTACTATTTTGTAAGCTGAAGACAGGAAATCGACAGTACTTTAGTTTACATTGACATACAATGGCTTTGCAATCCACTTGTTTGCACTTCAAACAACATGTTTTTACTTTGCTTTAAACAAATGAGATGGCACATAATAAATCATAGTTGTTTTGATTGCTGACAAAAGCAATAAAAGTTAACAATAGAAAATGCAATTATAATTCACTTCCTGTTTTTGAAAGCCAAGGCATTTGTTTGCTTCAGGTTACATTGTTTATGCTGGGAAGTTAATCACAAAATGAAAATGTTCCTCACTGTGTTGATCCAGTTGATGTAGGAGTTGACTTGTGTAAAGACAGTGGGCTTCTGGAAGACGTTGCAGCCCTGACCAGATCCGAAACTCACCATACCATGGACATCCCAGGAGCCATCAGGGTTCTGGCAACTCAGAGGGCCACCAGTCTCCCTGCGGGTCAGCACACACTGTTGGTGAGCAGTTTATGTACAGACACTAAGGTGGTATGGCTACCAGCTATCACTTAGTCATGCATGAATTCTCCTGTTACACCATTTCAAAGTAAATGTTCACTCGAATCTTCCCCGAACCTTTTTTATTGTACCAGATGGAAATCTTACAGATGACATAAGGGATCATTGTAATTGACAATTCAGTTACTGTTGTATCTTAGGATGACCCTTGGATGAACTCACATTATATCCAGCAGTGATGCCATCACCTCCGGCACAGACCATCTTGTCTGTTGCCAGGATGCTCCACCAGTCTGGCTGTGAGCAGGTATCATGGCCAACCACTGGCAGCCAGCCGCAGGATGTCAGGCAGAGGTCCGCTGGCTATGGGGAAGACACAAGAAACAAGAATTTGCTTTGAGGGAGGGTCACTCGGTGGGACAAGTGGGGTGCTGTTGCAGAATGGGTCCAGGGTAGAGAGTTAGAGGGTGGCATTTAATGCCAAAGCTAATCATGTTTCAAGTATTGTATGTGGCACGCCTGTTGAGCCATTTAGTCATATACAGTGAGGAAAATAAGTATTTGAACACCCTGCTATTTTGCAAGTTCTCCCACTTAGAAATCATGGAGGGGTCTGAAATTGTCATCGTAGGTGCATGTCCACTGTGAGAGACATAATCTAAAAAAAAATGATGATTGATTGACTGATATGATTTTTTTAACTATTTATTTGTATGATACAGCTGCAAATAAGTATTTGAACACCTGAGAAAATCAATGTTAATATTTGGTACAGTAGCCTTTGTTTGCGATTACAGAGGTCAAACGTTTCCTGTAGTTTTTCACCAGGTTTGCACACACTGCAGGAGGGATTTTGGCCCAGTCCTCCACACAGATCTTCTCTAGATCAGTCAGGTTTCTGGGCTGTCGCAGAGAAACACGGCGTTTGAGCTCCCTCCAAAGATTCTCTATTGGGTTTAGGTCTGGAGACTGGCTAGGCCACGCCAGAACCTTGATATGCTTCTTACAGAGCCACTCCTTGGTTATCCTGGCTGCGTGCTTCTGGTCATTGTCATGTTGGAAGACCCGGCCTCGACCCATCTTCAATGCTCTAACTGAGGGAAGGAGGTTGTTCCCCAAAATCTCGCAATACATGGCCCCGGTCATCCTCTCCTTAATACAGTGCAGTCGCCCTGTCCCACGTGCAGAAAAACACCCCCAAAGCATGATGCTACCACCCCCATGCTTCACAGTAGGGATGGTGTTCTTGGGATGGTACTCATCATTCTTCTTCCTCCAAACACGGTTAGTGGAATTATGACCAAAAAGTTCTATTTTGGTCTCATCTGACCACATGACTTTCTCTCATGACTCCTCTGGATCATCCAAATGGTCATTGGCAAACTTAAGACGGGCCTTGACATGTGCTGGTTTAAGCAGGGGAACCTTCCGTGCCATGCGTGATTTCAAACCATGACGTCTTAGTGTATTACCAACAGTAACCTTGGAAACGGTGGTCCCAGCTCTTTTCAGGTCATTGACCGGCTCCTCCTGTGTAGTTCTGGGCTGATTTCTCACCTTTCTTAGGATCATTGAGACCCCACGAGGTGAGATCTTGGATGGAGCCCCAGTCCGAGGGAGATTCACAGTCATGTTTAGCTTCTTCCATTTTCTAATGATTGCTCCAACAGTGGACCTTTTTTCACCAAGCTGCTTGGCAATTTCCCCGTAGCCCTTTCCAGCCTAGTGGAGGTGTACAATTTTGTCTCTAGTGTGTTTGGACAGCTCTTTGGTCTTGGCCATGTTAGTAGTTGGATTCTTACTGATTGTATGGGGTGGACAGGTGTCTTTATGCAGCTAACGACCTCAAACAGGTGCATCTAATTTAGGATAATAAATGGAGTGGAGGTGGACATTTTGAAGGCAGACTAACAGGTCTTTGAGAGTCAGAATTCTAGCTGATAGACAGGTGTTCAAATACTTATTTGCAGCTGTATCATACAAATAAATAGTTAAAAAATCATATCAGTCAATCAATCATCATTTTTTTTTAGATTATGTCTCTCACAGTGGACATGCACCTACGATGACAATTTCAGACCCCTCCATGATTTCTAAGTGGGAGACCTTGCAAAATAGCAGGGTGTTCAAATACTTATTTTCCTCACTGTAATTAGAAAAAAGTTGATTTATTTCAGTAATTCCATTCAAAAAGTGAAACTTGTATAATGTATACATTCATTCCACACAGACTGGTATATTTCAAGTGTTTAATTTTTGTCCTTTTAATTTTGATGATTATAACTGACAACTAATGAAAACCCCAAAATCAGTATCTCTGAAAATTAGAATATTGTGAAAAGGTTCAATATTGAAGACACCTGGTGCCACACTCTAATCAGCTAATTAACTCAAAACACCTGCAAAGGCCTTTAAATGGTCTCTCAGTCTAGTTCTGTAGGCTACACAATCATGGGGACGACTGCTGACTTGACAGCTTTCCAAAAGACTATTGACACCTTGCACAAGGAGGGCAAGACACAAAAGGTCATTGCTAAAGAGGCTGGCTGTTCACAGAGCTCTGTGTCCAAGCACAGAGGCGAAGGGAAGGAAAAGATGTGGTAGAAAAAAGTATACAAGCTATAGGCATAACCGCACCCTGGAGAGGATTGTGAAACAAAACCCATTCAAAAATGTGGGAGAGATTGCAGCTGGAGTCAGTGCTTCAAGAACCACCACGCACAGACGTATGCAAGAAATGGATTTCAGCCGTCGCATTTGTTGTCAAGCCACTCTTGAAAAAGACACAGCGTCAGAAGCGTCTCGCCTGGGCTAAAGACAAAAAGGACTGGACTGCTGCTGAGTGGTCCAAAGTTATGTTTTCTGATGAAAGTCAATTTTGCATTTCCTTTGGAAATCAAGGTCCCAGGAGAGGCACAGAATCCACGTTGCTTGAAGTCCAGTGTAAAGTTTCCACAGTCAGTGATGGTTTGGGGTGCCGTGTCATCTGCTGGTGTTGGTCCACTGTGTTTTCTGAGGTCCAAGGTCAACGCAGCCGTCTACCAGGAAGTTTTAGAGCACTTCATGCTTCCTGCTGCTGACCAACTTTATGGAGATGAAAATTTCATTTTCCATCAGGACTTGGCACCTGCACACAGTGCCAAAGCTACCAGTACCTGGTTTAAGGACCATGGTATCACTGTTCTTAATTGGCCAGCAAACTCGCCTGACCTTAATCCTATAGAAAATCTATGGGGTATTGTGAAGAGGAAGATGCGATACGCCAGACCCAACAACGCAGAAGAGCGGAAGGCCACTATCAGAGCAACCTGGGCTCTCATAACACCTGAGACTGATCGGACTCCATGCTACGCCGCATTGCTGCAGTAATTCAGGCAAAAGGAGCCCCAACTAAGTACTGAGTGCTGTACATGCTCATACTTTTCATGTTCATACTTTTCAGTTGGCCAACATTTCTAAAAATCCTTTTTTTTGTATTGGTCTTAAGTAATATTCAAATTTTCAGAGATACTGAATTTGGGATTTTCATTAGTTGTCAGTTTTAATCAACACAATTAAATGAAATAAACATTTGAAATATATCAGTCTGTGTGTAATGAATGACTTTAATATCCACGTTTCACTTTTTTGAATGTAATTACTGAAATAAATCAACTTTTTGATGATATTCTAATGATATGACCAGCACCTGGATTTATACTTGTGTAAAGCACAACTTAACAGATAGATTCTGTACTAACAAGGTCTCCCCTCTGTTGCAACTTCTACCTCAGCTTAAACAAGTCCAATGGTGCAAGAGTGTTTTATAGGCCCTCAAATTCCAGTAAAAGACAGGAAGCCCACAGGCTAGTCACATGTTGAAGAGGGTTGCAAACAATGCGTTCTATCAGATTTTACTACATCTATGCCAAAGGCAGTAAGCTGTCAGTCAGTTGCAGTGAAGAAAAAGCATGGTTTGTGTTTCTTCTTTAGTGATAGAACATATGCAGCCTACCAGAGTAAACTGTGAGTTTCCCATTTTTGAAAACAAGGTTTATCTTGATTGTGATGGTCAAAACTATCACCTCACTGTGTCTGTGTTCAGTCAAGTAAGAATTTACAGTAGTTCCTTGAAACTAAAGCTATTGATTTTATAGGATGTGGCTTGAACAATATTATCCCTTCTTTAATGTATACATGAACAGCCAATTGTTAATTTTACATTTTTATTTATGTACAAATTACTTTGTAGCACCATAAAAGTATCTACCTCTTTTTCTTTTTTTTGACATAACATTTATGCCAAAAGATAATCATAGAGTGCCAGTTGGTAGCTGCATTAGGAAATAAATCCCTTCCCCAGTTATGGTTCGATCTAAGCTCTGCTTATTCAGCAGACAGGTGAATATATGTCACATTTTTCTGACCAATTAATGGTTGTGAGTTATTCTTGGCTATGTCAAGATATTTGACCTAAATTGACTGACAGGTGCACAGACGCTGACTAGACACCATTAAGAAGGCCTTCAGTAAGTCCAAGGTGGAAATCTGTAATGCAGATTCACAGTGATTCATTCTGCTGAGGTCACATCACTCACTGGAGAGTCGACCCCAGCCGGTGACATAGCACCGTCGGGCAGGACGACGCTCTGGTCTGGCAGGCAGGCGGGCATGATTGTGTCAGAGAAGATGACTGGGGGAAGACAGCTTGATCATGGAGATGTCGTTACTGCAAAAGGCAAAAAAATATACACCCATTTTAAGGAAGTAATGAGTGCGCGCTATATTGAGGTTTTGCTGCATCAACTTCCTCCTTTGAAAAAATAGCCTACCAGTTAACGGATCACTGATGCGCTTGCACGTGGTGGCCTGCCGATTATGCTCTTCACTCAGACTTGTAATGTTAATAATAATAAACACTATTTTATATACATTATCTTAACAATGTTACAATGTGCTTTACAAAAGGAAAGTAGGAACATTTTTGACTTTTGACATGAGGTGATACTGAGCTGTGTGTGGGAGGCTGTTGCCGTTACCGGATGAGCAGGGGGGTTGTAGTCCTCATGAGTGATGATTGTAGCCGCGCTATGGGCTATCGAGCCCTCCTCACTCGTCTTCAGGTTGTGCTTGTGGTCACTGTGGGATGGCAGATGACACTGCGTTTCCATGGGGTGTTTAGACAGTAGTATTGACTTTTCTGCCTGTGCGTATAAAACTGTGATTAAACTGATGGTGGATTACAAGTCGTTAGTAGTGCTGTAGAGGCATTGCGTGGTTGTTTGGGTGACCAATCAATTTCTGACCGGCTTTAAAGCGGTAATCTTTGAGGTCTTCAGCTTTTTGTAAGCAATGTTTTTCTCTGAACCCCCCCCAAACCATTGCACTGTACTTGATTATATTGACAACCTTTCCCTAGGTTTGAGTTAAACATACTTGATGCAGTGTGCAGCAGTGAGGACCCAGTCAGAAGAGATGAGGGTGCCTCCGCACACATGCCTCCAGCGCCCACTGCTGTCTGACTGCAGCGAGATCTGAACAGAGCCAAGAGAGGACAGCGTGCTTTAAAATGTCACTCCAACATATCCATTTCATCTCTCATCCTTATATCTGCTCAGGAGGAGAACTCTTTTTACTAAAATATAGAAGATTCAGACATTAAATGTGTGAAAATAGGTGTCACTAATGTGGTGTAGTGATAGTGATCGGGTGACCGAATAATCAGGCCAATATCTGGCATTTTGAGATAATTGGCATCGGTGATGCCTGCACTTACAAGGCCGATTTTAAAAAAGGAAAAAAAAAGGTCTGCGGGCAGCCATGTTAGTGTGGCTGCTGTGAAAGATGTTAGTGCCCCCTAATGTGAGTTTTGGGGAAATGGTGAAAAAGTTAGTTTCAAGCCTTAAATGTCCTCTGTCACCACCGTCTTTTCTAAATGTCAAAACCTTTCCTCCATCCTAAACGACAGCAAATTGAATCTAAAACCGTTACTGGCTGCCTTTAAATACAGTATATATTGTTGTAATGCAGAGAATAATACAGTTGAATGATGTCACTACTGACAAATCCCAGTCTCCTTTAAACACCTGTAATGTTCTGAAATATACAGCATAACCCAATGTATTTTTCTATATCATTAATTCATGAAAACTCCATCTAAAACAGCACATTACTGGCTAAGATAACTATGTATATTAGATTGTAATCTGCATGGAATAATGGAATTATACATTTCTTTCTTTTGATATCGGCATTATATTCCGGCCATCAGCCTCCCTGCTCTCTAAATATCGGAAATGGTCATTGAAAACACCACTGCTGTGGTGGTAAAAAGTAGTGTTCATGCTGTTCCTTGGTTGTAGGAGTGAACATGTTTTTACACGTTCAGACAAGACCTTGGCTGCCAGGGCTAGCTGTGAGGCCTGACATCCTCTCCTGCCACCACCTTCATCTGGATTATAATACAGCAAATACCTTTTAAGTAATGTATAAGAAGATAGAAACTGTCTTACCGCTAGCTACCACAAACGTGAGAACCACCAGGCTCCTCATGACTGTAGTTGAAGGTTTAGTATGTGGTGTGTGACTAAATCTTGTGTTAAGAACAGGCTTGTATTTATACTGTATGTTAGCAACTTCTAGCCAGTGTTCAGACTGCCCTGGGAAACTTGACTGACACATGCAGAAAGTCAAACAAGTGGTGGAGACTGGAGACATAGCATATGGTTGGTGATAGGATTTTCCCATCACTACTCCCATTGTGGAACATTGGATCCTTTTCTGCTATTTAAGTATCACTTATCAAACTTAGTAGATTATATACTTATTAAATTAACTGAATGTTCAGGTGCCTCCAATTTAAATTGTGCTTGGTTGCTTTTCACACTGCTAACCTGACAATTAAAACATAAAATAACACAAATAATCTCAACATTTTATTTGATTAATAGTTTTATTTATTTTGTATGTGTACATTGTGGCTTTGATCCCCAAAGCCTGTCCCTTCAATAGGCCACCATTTTCTGTGGGAGAGATGAAGGAGATATTATTAGATAAGTTATAATTTTTATGACTTCAACCTCTGAGGTGATTTAATGAGAGGCTCAGGAGCTTACAGAGCTGATCCAGTCAGTGTAGGAGCTGACTTGGGTGAAGACGGTGGGCTTCTTGGGGAAATTGCATTTGAGCCCGGAGCCAAAGCTGACGATGCCGTGAACCTCCCAGGCACCATCAGTGTTCCGGCAGTTCAGAGGACCTCCAGAGTCCCCCTGAATCACAGGAGTGTGCAAATTCCACATTTAACAGTAACTTCTTGTCCTCATAAGGCACTTAATGTTTACATTTCATAATACCTTACAGACATTCCTTTACATTTTTCCTTTGAAATATTGAATGTTATTCACATAAAAAGGCATTTTAGGAGACAGTTTTTTGGGAATAGCATACAGAATCAAAAGAAGAATCTCAAATATCAATCTCACATATACATATATATGTATGTGTGTGTGTGTGTATATGTATATGTATGTATACATATGTATATATATGGGACGGCTGCAGCTCAGGAGGTAGAGCGGGTTCCCTGGCTCCCCCTGGTTGCGTGTCGAAGTGTCCTTGGGCAAGATACTAAACCCCGAATTGCCCCTGGCGGCTGTTCCGCCAGTGTATGAATCTGTGTGATTGTTAGTTTCCGTTTGAGCACTTAGGCTCAGTGTATGAATGTGTATGACTGGTGAATGCAGATGTAGTGTAAAAGCACTTTGAGTGGTCGAAAAGACTAGAAAGGCGCTATACAAATACGGAGTATGTATATATATGTGTATATGTATTTTAGTATCATATCATAGAGGACATTTACAGCCAATGTTCAAATTTCAGATGCTGGAACCAGTTTGTATAACACATTTCTTAAACAATGAATCAGTTATCAAAATAATTGATGATTCATTTTCTGATGATTGACTAATCAATTAAGACTAATCGTTGCAGCTGTACTTTGTTGTTAGATTGCGAATATTTTGTGTGACGTACAGAATTTAAACTGATGATTCTCTGTTTGATGCATGACAAAATAGGAAAAAGGAGTGTTGCTTGCATGGTGTCCAGTTCACTGAGGTCAGAAAGCATTGATGGTACGATATGATTTGTAATATTGTGTCATAAATTATTTTAGACTCACGTTGCAACCAGACACAACTCCATCTCCACCTGCGCAGACCATGGTGTCCTTCACCTGAAAGCTCCACCAGTCAGGCTGGGAGCAGGTAGCGAAGTCCACCACGGGCAGGAGAGCCTGCTGCAGGTTGTCAGCAATGGGACCTCCGGCTGTATGGCGGAGAGATGCACACTAGCTCAGGTAAAATACTGGTGAGAAACACAACCTTGTCGAGACAGCTGTTTTATTAGAGAAGGATTAGGCAAATAAATATTGTTTATCCACCCTGTTAAACTTACAACTACAACTGCAATGCATTTTTATTGAGTCATAATCCACTCTGCAGTAAAAAAAATCTAACAAAAATCCAGTCGGTATTTAATTAACTTAACTAGAGATAACTACAAACATCTGCACTATAAAAAACATAATTTAAATGACTTTGCTTGTAATTAAACAATTTAGCATATAGCATTTTGTCAGAAACTGTAAGTATTGTCTTTGGTAAGTAGCCAAGTAATATTTTTTTCATTATAGAAAATAAGCTTTTTAAAGCAATCTGACATGAAAGGACATATATCCATTACTACACTCATAATGCATGGTAAACTGGGCTTTAATGGCTGCACACTAAGCCTCTTTCTTTCTTTACTTGAACCTTTGTAGTACATACCCTGCTGTAGAACCTTAAATAAAAGTCCAAATACTAAGATAATACTGTATACTAACTTAAATACTAAGAAAACTATAATATTGTAATAAAACAGCAGTAAAGAATGCTTTCTCAGCTGCAACTGCCATAATTACAAATAGTAATCCACATAGGAAACTGATTTTGTCTCAACATGATGGTAGATTGGGCACTCACTGTAGAGGCGTCCCCATCCAGTGACGTAGCAGGGATTGTCATGAGGGAGGATGAAGCCAGCAGCAGGGAGACAAGCAGCCATGATGGTGTCAGAGAAGGTGACGGGGGACTCAAGCTTGATCAGGGCAATGTCATTACTGGAGACACACACACATTTAGATTCATCATAGACCTGATATTTCCTGTAATGTTTACTGAAAGGATCTTTTTAATTTGCAGCAAAGTTTCACAATTCATTGCCAAGTATTTTCTATTTTCTTTTTACCGGATGAACAAGGAGTTCCATTTCTCATGCACAATGATGTTAGCGGTGCCCATGAACACAGCATCCTTCTCTGTCTCTATCAGGTTGTGCTTTCCCATGGCTACTCTGTACTCCTTGCCAGTGCTGCAAGTTGCCAGGGAGAAGGACATGAAGCAGTGATGTATTAGCTCAGAGATTAAGTTTCTAGGAGTGTAGAAAAATAAAACACTAGTTCAATACCAATCATGTTTTGCTGATTCTATGTGGAAATACAGTTGTCCTGACAAGCATTTTTTTCTACTGTTCTGTCCTAAAAGTGAAGAAAGTGCAGAAATGTGCAAGTGGGTTGTGATGAGTACAATCATTGATGTTGCATGTGACCATACAGCATTTAATATAGATATTTGTGTCAGTGCTGCATTGAGTTATAATAACCTACTCCATTGTTTCATACCTGATGCAGTGAGCAGCAGTGAGGACCCACTGGTTAGAGATCAGAGTACCTCCACAGGTGTGCCTCCACTCGCCCTGTTTGTTGTACTGCAGGGAAATCTAAAACATACACATGGACAATGAACAAGCTTTATCTTTTCTTTTTTATGTCTGCCCTCAAAGACTTACTGACTACAGGCACACATGCAGCTGATATTTCATCCAGCTTATGTCTCCTACTCATGAGTCTTTTTCCAATTTTAGCTTTAACCTCTTAAAAACTGTCCTGGTTTTCTGTGCCTTTGATTGATTATTTTCATTATTGCACTTTTATTTCCTTTACTAAATTTGGGCAACTTACTGCAATCTAACCACTCGATAACTGTATCTATAACTATATCTCTGGTCCATTCTTTTTTTTGTCTATTTGTATTTCATTTATGTAATTTTATTCAATTTAAAATTATATATTTGCCTTATACTTTTGCATACTACACTATATATCTTAGCTATAAACCTGTAATTTACTCCACTCTTTTGCAGTCTAAATTAAATATTTTTCAGACATTTGATGTCTTGTTTTCTGAGTGAAACTCATCACTTAGCATGCTTCACCTGCCAGGGCCAGCTGTGAGGCCTGGCATCCTCTCCTCCAACCACCCTGGTCACCACAGGGGTGAAGGTGGGCAGGCCACACCCATAGGCTGAGTAGACAGACAGAGAAAAACTCTTTTAAAACTGTGAACAGGTGCACACAACTGTTAATGTGCATTCAGTTATTAGAGAAAGCTGAAACAGTTTATGTGAACATGGCTTAAAACTGCCTTAATAGTGTGTTGTGTAAAAGCTCCTTACCACCAGCAACAAAGAGAGCGATAACCACAAACTTCATCATGTCTGTATCTCCACAGTGTGCAGTAAAACATGTGACATATTTATAGGTTTCACGATGTTATGCAACCTACAAAACTGGGTCAAATTCTTGGAAATTTGCCCTATGACAAATCTTAACAGTGACATGCCCATAAATTGCCAGGAATACTAGGCCAAGGCCAGGTGTTTGACAAATTTTTAACTTGAGCTGGAGTTGACAATCAAATGTAGCCCTCCCTACTCTGATTTCCTTACAAAGAAATTCATTGCCTCCTCCAGTAGCTGAAGCTTCCGTTGCTCATGAACCTCATGTGGAATTGACATTGTGACAGTTCTGTTTTAACAAGTGCAATTAAGCAGTACAGAGTTATTAGTGTAGTAGTGAAATTCCACATGCCTTGCTAAATTAAAACAGGCTTGTTCATTTGGTTTGATTGCAATATCTGCTCTGAAATATAGTGGATGAAACACCAAGTCCTCTGCATTGATTCACTAATGTCTGCATCATAGCAAAAATATAGCAACAACAGTTGACTAAATATTTGATGTTACTTAAATGTCAGCATTTGATCTATAATTGTTTCAGAAAAGAAGTTGGGGCAGGACAAAAAATGTTTGCTTTTCAAAGTACCCACTGAGGAATACCACTGCACTACATCAACAGTACTCTGAAGCCGCCACAGAAACCAAACTATGTTAATGCTGCAAAGCTGCTGCAACAAATGTAACAGTAAAATGCAACTTTATTACACACCACATTACTACATGATTTATGTATATCACTTTTAAACCTTGCTAAAACATTAATTATGTATACCATTTTATTTTATTTATATAATATTTAAGTGTTTTGTACGTCTCAACCACATAATCTCATCAAAACACTAATGTGGGATTAATTTAAATAAATTCCACAACTACTTAAAAAAGAACAAAAGTGAACACTTCCCACTTTCTTCCCCCCTTCCTCCAGCCCCTCTACATCTCCTTTTTTCCCTCAATAAACCTCTTTAGAAACCTGAAGTGTTGCGTTTGGGTCTGTTCTGTCCATAATCATCACAGAACAATCAAGCCACCATGGACCCAGCACACTCCCCCCCACCCCCCCACCGACCCCACTCCGTTGGAAATCATTCACGCCATCGTCTCTCAGGGGGCTGTTCTCGATCAGCATGCGGCCCGTCTCCAGTCGGTATCCGATGCGCTCTGCTCCCTGGGCGAGGAGGTGCAGCGCTGACTTTGCCCCGAGCGCCCCTGCCGGCGCGTACTTCTCTCGCGAGTCTCCGGTGTCCCACCCAGACAAGTTTTCCGGCGTTTTGGGCACGTGTGACGGCTTCCTGGTGCAATGTGCCCTGGTGTTTAAGAGGCAACCAGTAACTTTCCAGTCCGACGAGGCCAAGATCTGTTACGTCGCTGGGCTACTCCGCGACCGGGCCCTGGCCTGGTACACAGCCGTCATTGAGGGTCAGACCTCCTCCCGGACGCCCCCCTCCCTTCCAGTCACCTGTACAACGGAGAGAGAATCTATGGAGCAGTATATCAAAGACTCCTTAGCTGCTGGCATCATCCGGCCCTCTTCCTCCCCGGGCGGGCTTCTTTTTCGTTGCTAAAAAAGACAAGACCCTTCGCCCCTGCATCGATTACCGGGGGCTCAACGCCATCACCATTAAAAACAAGTACCCCCTTCCGCTCATGGATTCAGTCTTTGAGTCCCTCTCCAAGCCCACCATCTTTACTACACTGGATCTGAGAAACGCTTACCATCTGGTGCGGATCCGGGAGGGGGACGAATGGAAAACCGCGTTTAACACCCCCCTCGGTCACTATGAATATTTCGTCATGCCCTTGGCCTCACCAACGCCCCCGCGGTTTTCCAAGCCTTAATCAATGACGTCCTCCGTGACTTTCTCCACCGCTTCGTCTTCGTATACCTTGATGACATCCTGATTTTCTCCCGCGTGAATGTTCGTCTGGTCCTGCAGCAGCTTCTGGAGAACAGGCTTTTCGTCAAAGCGGAGAAGTGCGAATTTCACACACCCTCCGTCCAGTTCCTTGGGTTCATAATCGAAGGGGGGCAGCTCCACGCCGACCTTTCGAAGATCCAGGCGGTCGCTGACTGGCCAACTCCCACCTCCGTAAAACAACTACAATGCTTTCTCGGCTTCGCAAACTTTTACCGCCAGTTTATCCGTAACTTCAGCGCCATCACCGCCCCCCTCACCCGCCTCACATCCACCTCGGTTCCCTTCGCCTGGTCTCCGGAGGCCGCTGCAGCCTTCTCCCACCTCAAGACCCTGTTCTCCTCCACCGCCGTCCTCACCAACCCCATCCCCTCCCTTCAGTTTGTGGTAGAGGTGGACGCCTCGGACGTGGGCGTCGGCACCTGTCTCTCCCAGCGCTCCCCGAAGGATGACAAACTTCTGGCGGGAGTTCAGTCTTTTGGCGCGGTGGGCCTTGTTCTTCAATAGATTCAACTTCACCCTCTCCTACCGCCCTGGGTCCCGAAACACCAAACCAGATGCTCTCTCCCGGCTCCACTCCCCGGACCCCCCCGACACCATCATGCCTCGCACCTGCCTCGTCGCTCTTGTGGTCTGGGAGGGGGAGTCTGCTGTCCGCCACGTCCAGTCCACTGAGCCCGATCCCGGCATCGGACCCCCCAACCGCCTCTACGTCCCGTCGAGTGTCCGCTCCCGGGTCCTCCAATGGGCGCACGCATCCAGGTTCAGTTGCCACCCCGGGATGGCCCGTACCCTCTTTCTGCTTCGCCAGCGGTTCTAGTGGCCCTCCATGGACAGGGACTGTCGGTCCTTTGTGGCGGCCTGTGAGGTGTGTGCCTGCACCAAACCTTCCCATCAGCCGCCCGCCGGTCTGCTCCGCCCCCTCCCAGTCCCCGGTCGCCCTTTGTCACCGGTCTCCCCAAGTCTAATGGGAACACAGTCATTCTCACCATCGTCGACCGCTTCTCTAAATCCGCCCACTTCGTCCCCCTACCCAAGCTCCCCACCTCTGGAAATGGCCCGCCTACTCATCGACCATGTCTTCCGCCTGACCCTCCCTCCTCACCTGAAGGTCCACCCTCTCTTTCACGTCTCCCGGATCAAGCCCGTTTCCACCAGCACCCTCTCCGTACCAGTGGCAGACCCCCCCCCCCCCCACACTTCAAATGGTCGATGGACATCCCGCTTACATGGTGCGCCGCCTCCTCGACGTGCGACGTAGGGGCCGGGGCTAACGGTACCTGGTGAACCGGCCCAGAATAATGTTCCTGGATTCCCATCAGCCAAATCTTGGACCGATCCCTCCTGGCCGACTTCTACCGAGGCCACCATGACAAGCTGGGGGGTCCACCTGGAGGTGTCCGTTGAGGGGGGGGGCCCTGTTGCGGTGGCAGCCCGGCTGATGGTGAGTACCTCGGCCTCCTGCCCCACTCGGCCCTCTCGCCTGAACCTCTCCTGCTCCGCCAGCTCCTCGGTCCCCTGCGCCCACGTCTTCCCCCCTTCCTCTAGCCCCTCTACATCCCCTTTTTTCCCTCAATAAACCTCTTTAGAAACCTGAACCGTTGCGTTTGGGTCCATTCTGTCCATAATCATCACAGGATGGTCTTTTTATACCTAATCATGTCACTAACTTGTTGCCAGTTCACCTAATTCATTGTGACATTTTCCACCAGGCGTTTTCTCTTAGCATTTCAAAACTTTTCCAGTCTGTTGTTGCCACTGTCACAACTTTTTCCAATCATGTTGCATCAAATTCAAAATGGGTGTGTAATTTTCCAAAAACAATACAATTTTCAGTGTCAACATTTGATAAGTTGTCTTTGTGCTATTTCAATTAAATATGTGGTTTCATTGTTTTGCACATAGTCACATTTTCAAATGTTTGGGAAACAGGGTTGTAATATCTTTGATAGAACAACGCAGTTGGACTGACCATTTTCAAATGAATGTATAACCAAGGAGTATGAACATTGTCAAAAGACCTGACCAACTCAGGCCACTGTAAGACACCTGTTTGGTTCACACAGAGGTTGAGTTGGGGAGATAAGGTGTATTTAGGGATATCTGTAGTTACTTATCTCCAAGGTTGATTTATTTTTCCCACCAGCTTGTCCTGGCAAATGCAAATGCAACACATTTGAAATTTTTAAGCAAGCCTGTTAAAGCACTATATAAGGAGGAGCAGGCCCGCTTGAACTTCTGCTGAAGACTGTCATAATGAAGTTCGTGATCTTGGCTTTGTTTGTTGCTGGTGGTAAGCTCTGATATTCCTCTGGCCAGCTGGGTGTTGCTACATAAAACTGTCCACATTCTTTTTACATAAAGTGTAGAAATATGATATGGAGCATTGATTTTATAGAATTTAACAGATTCACATTTTATTCTTAGGGCTAAAAAAGAGAATTTTGTAGCACACAACATTTTTGATATTGTCAATAATACATTTTGATACTACTGCTGATAAGACACCGTTATAAATCACTATATTCTGTACTGTTGTTTCTTAGCCTACGGGTGTGGCCTGCCCACCTATCGCCCTGTAATCACCAGGGTGGTTGGTGGAGTTGATGTCCGTGAGAACAGCTGGCCCTGGCAGGTTTGTCACTTTAAAACTTCTTCTTTAAGAATCTGTGTCCTTTGTCCATTTCATAAAGTCATAAAACATTCATGTGCTGTCTTTGTTTGTTCTCTTTAGGTGTCTCTGCAGTACAAGAGTGGCAGCAACTTCTACCACACCTGTGGTGGCACCTTGATCTCCAACCAGTGGGTCCTCACTGCTGCTCACTGCATCAGGTGTGGCTAAAAAGTTGTAGAAATTGGAAATCAAGAACGTATACGAGGTACAGGGGACAAAGAGAGCCAGGTCTATGGTAGACAGAGCACTTATCAAGCCAGGTGACAGAGGCAGTGTGGAATGAAAAATAAGCTTGTATTTAAAAATGTACTCAAACATATACTTAAATACTTTAGCAGTCTATAGAGTTGGCAACACTGCAGTTTAGTCTTTAAACCAAAAATGCCTTGATTAGCTGTGGTCACTGATTATTACTATTCTTACTTATATTCAATTAAATTATTTAAGAAAAATATAAATATCAGAAAATTAATACTTTGTTATGGCACTTTAACACTGGCAGTGATAATTTAAACACTTTAAGAGTTAAATGAACACTGTATGTTAGATCCCATATCAAAGTAAATCCAACCCTTGTTTCTGTCTTTTATGTGGCCAAGCAGCAGTCGCACCTACAGAGTCTACCTGGGAAAACACAATCTCAAAACCAACAATGAGCCTGGTTCCATCGCCATCAGCCCCGCCAAGATCGTCGTCCACGAGAACTGGGACTCTTACAATATCCGGTGGGCTCAGTGATTTCCCTTCATCTTGTATTATGTTGCTGTGACTATTAATGCTCATTAACATCCTGTTTCTAAATGTGGTATTTGCATTCATGCTCTAGTAACGACATTGCCCTGATCAAGCTGTCAACCCCTGTCACATTCTCTGATTCCATCATGGCTGCCTGTCTTCCCAACTCTGGTGACATCCTGCCTAATGCTGCTCCCTGCTACGTCACTGGCTGGGGCCGTCTCTGGAGTAAGTGCTACGGGAAAAAAAACATAAGAAGAGAAACCGAATCTGGCAATATACATCTTAATAATCATAATGTTACATCAGTTTTTAAAGCTGTGTGAGCACGGCATCTTTTCCCACCTTCTCCTCCCAGTTTTCAGATATATTGCACAGGACTCAAAGGATTAATCATCAACTGAAAATTCAGTGGCTGTTAATCTGAACAGGGCTGAGGTGGTTATGTTCAGTTTCAAGACTTAATCTTGTCTTAGTTTGGCCTCTGCCTAGTAGTTCTATGACTTTATATATTTTTGGATGTTGTCTTTGCTTTTTTTTAACCACTAATCTACAAATGAAAGAAGGTTACAGCTTGCAACACAGATATTTTGAGGATTTACCCCCCTTTCTCACAATTTCACTGTGAATAACTCAAAATTATATATGCTGAATAGATTTTATACAAGCTCATTCGAGTCAGCATCTGTAATTTCTGTTAACCCTTACAAAACATTTTCATCTTTAAGAAACTTGGGTTTCTGCTCACTTTTGAATGGATAGTAGACCTATTTAATCTTGACTGAATCTGAATGACCTGTTCTCTTTTTAAGCTGGAGGTCCTATTGCTGACATCCTGCAGCAGGCACTCCTTCCTGTGGTTGGCCATTCCACCTGCACCAGGTCTGACTGGTGGGGCAACCTGGTCACCAACAGCATGGTCTGTGCTGGAGGAGATGGAAAGCTGGCTAGCTGCAACGTGAGTCTGGTTCTTTTTCCTGTAAAACCAAATCCCATCCTTACATTCAAGCATACCTCTACATTTCAGAATTTATATCTATGACTGTACATTTTCTAAAAGTGTCACCCTTCTTCTGTCAGATTTTTGGTCAAATATTATATTTGTCTCTGGTCCCATTTAGGGAGACTCTGGCGGTCCTCTCAACTGTCAGAACCCTGATGGCTCGTGGGACGTCCACGGTGTGGTGAGTTTCGGCTCAAGCATGGGCTGCAACTACCCCAAGAAGCCCTCCGTCTTCACTAGGGTCAGCGCCTACATCCCCTGGATCAACAACGTAAGTGAAAAAGCTTTTTATAGAAAAATATTTGTCCAACACTCGATACATTTTTGTTTATTTTTGGCTCAAGCAGACAGCAGTAAAACTTTTTCACTTTCTCACCTTCTGTTGGCTTTACTGACCCTTAAACTACTGGAAGCCATTTTTTTGTGCTTATAATGTGTCTCTATCTGAGAAATGGTTTCATTCAAAAGGAGGGGGAAAAAATATAATTTTCCAGATATGGTTAAATTACTATTTAAATTACAACAGAAATGATGAAATGTAACAGCATTGTTATGATAAAGAAGTGCACATGCTCTAGTGCCCTACTGTGGAGCATTTTTAAATATCTTCCTCATATTTTCTTTTTTCCAGGTGATGACCACGAACTAAGATGCGGATTAGTTTGTGTCATTGTTGGTTGTTGCACTTGAGCATCAAATAAAGAATGTTGTGGCTTATACAGTGTCTTGTGTTTTCTTAATCAGACACCAAAATTACATTTGTGTGTTGGTTATTTACTTCAAAGATGGCCGATATTCAACTGGTCATATGTTTAGTGACATTCTCCTTCATCCAGAGTTTTCAAACATTTTATCCTAATCTCAGGGTCAGCGCTATCTTACCATTGGAACATGTTGTCTTTAAGAGGTCCTCTGGAGGACATTCATTCTAAATTTATCGCAAAGACACTCAGCCCTAGTACAGCCAAGTACATGTTGTAAAACAATGAAAGACATGATCCCTTGGACACATCACATACATTTCTCCAGTACCTGATAAACCAGAGGCCCTCAGTGAGTAACATTAATTATTATTAATTACATGACAGCATCAAAGAGCAAAACACATACATGAAAAGACAATGCACACAAACATCAGATCAGAAATCAGAAATACTTTATTGATCCCCGAAGGGAAATTTACAGCTCTGTGTGCAGCAGAACATGTCAAATGTTGTTCAACACTTTCATGAGAAGATTTATTTTCCCAGGTTTCAGTTTGTGCAATTAGATTTGAGGTTTTCTTTGTCAAGATTCCAGTATAGTCAACAATACACTGACAGTCCATATACTAAAGTTCTTCTTCTATTAGCTTTTGCTGTTTCACTGCCTGACCAGATTATAAAAGGATGCAGTATACACTCACCTAAAGGATTATTAGGAACACCTGTTCAATTTCTCATTAATGCAATTATCTAATCAACCAATCACATGGAAGTTGCTTCAATGCATTTAGGGGTGTGGTCCTGGTCAAGACAATCTCCTGAACTCCAGACTGAATGTCAGAATGGGAAAAAAAGGTGATTTAAGCAATTTTGAGCGTGGCATGGTTGTTGGTAGAGTCAGAATTTGGCGTAAACAGAATGAGAACATGGATCCATCATGCCTTGTTACCACTGTGCAGGCTGCTGGTGGTGGTGTAATGGTGTGGGGGATGTTTTCTTGGCACACTTTAGGCCCCTTAGTGCCAATTGGGCATCGTTTAAATGCCACGGCCTACCTGAGCATTGTTTCTGACCATGTCCATCCCTTTATGGCCACCATGTACCCATCCTCTGATGGCTACTTCCAGCAGGATAATGCACCATGTCACAAAGCTCGAATCATTTCAAATTGGTTTCTTGAACATGACAATGAGTTCACTGTACTAAAATGGCCCCCACAGTCACCAGATCTCAACCCAATAGAGCATCTTTGGGATGTGGTGGAACGGGAGCTTTGTGCCCTGGATGTGCATCCCACAAATCTCCATCAACTGCAAGATGCTATCCTATCAATATGGGCCAACATTTCTAAAGAATGCTTTCAGCACCTTGTTGAATCAATGCCACGTAGAATTAAGGCAGTTCTGAAGGCGAAAGGGGGTCAAACACAGTATTAGTATGGTGTTCCTAATAATCCTTTAGGTGAGTGTAGAAGACACAGCTACCCACTCTTTTTTCTATTCTTCACTGATTTTTGAAACACTGAAGAATGATACTCTCAGCAATGTATGTATCTGTTGATGAATCCACGTTTGACCTTAATGAGAACCAAAGCAGGTGGTCTTCCCAACTCAGCCCATCCCTTTGAACAACAGCACTTCTTTTAACAATTTTTAACAGCCAACTGAAAACTTGCAATGACAGCAGTCCTGTTTTGAACTTTGGACTCTTCATCCTTAATAGAATAAACCCAAAGTTTGATCTCAGTGCTGCATAAATAGCTGGTTGTATTGCAGGATGAGTGCAGCCATCTATTTTTGCGGCACCAAGTCACAAGGTCTCAAAATGAATACAAGCCATGAGTTTTTACAATCTGAAAAGTCATATAAATTAACATAAATATGATATATCTGTCCTAACATTGCAGCATACAAACTCATAGAAAAATTCGACAATGTGGTCTAAATGGCTTCAGGTGGAACAGTGGCTCCAGAACACTTTCTCTTCCTGGTTCACTCCCTGTGGTGAAGGAAAAATGACACTCTATTCAGTAAGAGATAACACTGCACAATATCAAAGTAGAATACATCAACCAAACATGAAAAAAGTTGTGGCTAAGAAGAATGTGATCACTGATTAAATGCCAACTGACAGAGCACCAACCTTGCAGTTCCCTGTGTGGTCCTCTGGTTAAAAATAGAAGGTACAAAATCCGGGCTGTCACACTCCATTGGTGGCTTCCCTGATTTGAGAAGATTTGACATTAAGGTCAGACAACACTGTTGATGGTCATAAACCTAGCATGGCAACATGTAACACAGAAATCAGTAATACACAAGTTGGGTAATATGACAATATATACCATGCAACCATATAAATGTGCCAAGATTTTGCAATATCACCTATATCATAGCTCCTTTCAACATAACTGTATGACCATTCAAGGAATGTGGCTTATCAAAACACCTATTTTTTCTCTTACCTGTCAGCCAAACTGCCATAAGACATTTTAGATTTTATGTGTACAAATATAACTCCTTCTGAGATTTCTGCCCGCATCTCTTTACAATAGACGTGAATTGAGAGACAAAAATTCTTCCCAGATACAATTGTGGTATGTCCTGGTCATTCTGGATAATTCAGAGACATCACTGTCAACAAGCTGGGTATTTCTTATGTTGTTCCTTTGAAAACTGTTCACTGTGGCAGTGTTGAAAATTGTAACTGAAACTGTAACTGGAAAAATTGTTTCTGAAAAGGAATGTTGCTGTCAAATGTTTTCAAATGTGTTTTTTTAAGATTGGAGCACCACAAAAAAATCCATTTGGGGGACAGCAGACATATCAGAAACTGGGAAAAACCGCCTACTAAAGTAGAGGAAAGTGAAAGTCCTTTTCCTTTTTTGTATATGGCACGCCTTTGGCGCACCTTTAGTTCATGTTTAACTTGTGCTGTTTGTATGTTACATTTGCTTGTAGGCTATTGTGACATGTGTATTTGTCTATGTATTAACAGAAAGCAAGTAAGCAAACAAAGCAAAAAGCGAGATCAACTCACTATAACGCCAAATAGAAAAGACAATAGAAGTAGAGATGCTATGCAGCCCCATTTAGTTATGGTGTTTATGTGTAACTAATTTCAATTTTTCAAAATTTCAAATGACAAGTTTGTGGAACTACACGACCTGCAATTTCGACTATGTCCACTATACCAAACTTGCTGCACAGCCTGTCGGTGGTCCAAGGAAAGCTCTTCTTTCAGGTGGTTAGCGAGGAAGACGTTTGTCGCCATCTTGGATTATGCAAAGTTGGCTGCAGGCCCACACCCACACCCGTCCTCGAGGCGACATCTCCTAAACTATGTTTGAGAAGTTCCCCTGCCCTCCGGTTGGTTTGTTTATTTTATCTCAATTTCATTATCACCAATTTTTTTGTAATACCTTAGCTTCTTTCGAATAGCCACATACATGTTGGAACTTTGAATGCACCTTTGTTAAGGTGCATTCAAAGTTCACTCAGAATTATAGTAGATAAGTTAGCTTGTAAAATAATGGACAGAAAACCCGTGTCATGTCTCAGTTTCTCGTAAAGATGTAATGTTACAACGCTCTAATGTGGAAAAAATACTGTGCTGGCTTAAGGCAATAAGTTAAGGTAATTTTGGAAATGTGCGACTTTATCTGTATATTTACCTAACATTACAACGAAATTGTCTTTCATGAGATTTAAACTCTGAAGAGGCTGCAGTTTCAGGACCGCGATTCTAGGACCCCAGCATCACCTACCAAATTTCACAACAATGGACCGCATTGTTACATGGACAGTGTGTGAGTAGTGAATGTGAAACAAGTTTTAAATATAAATTGGGCAGCAACGTTCACGTTAGCTGACCGAAGTGTGAGTAGCCACCTATGATAGTCCTGAAGGCACCAGTGGGGAATGAAGTATAGATTTTTTACTTAAGTAAAAGTACTAATGCCTTACTGTAGAAATACTCTGTTAGGAGTAAAGGCACTGCATTGAAAACGGTTTAATCAGGAAAATGTACTGAAAGTATTAAAAGTACTCAAAGCTGGAAGGAAAATGTCCACTGTGAATGTTAGGCTATACTATTTTATATCATTAGATTATTATTACTTATGCATTAATGTAAATGCAGGATTTTACTGTTGTAGTTGGTTGAGGTTGAACTTCTTGGTATCACACTGCAATTAATGCCTTTTTTCATTATGGATTAATGCTGCTGCTGATTATTTCTTCATTAATTGAATGTAAACATTTTGAAAATAGTGAGAAATGTTGTCATGATTGCCCAAAGCCCAAAGTGACACCTTCACAATGCTTTTTTTGTCAGTCCCAACCTCAAAATGATTATCATCATGTACTAAATAGCCTATATACAGGGATTTAACAGAAATACGTACTAAGCTCAAATCAGGACAGAAGATTCAAAATGTCTTTTGGTCCAGTACAAGGCTTGGGCCTCTTTTGTCTGTGGGATGATCTGAAAATGTTCAATTTGACCAATTAGGCTTTCTTTTTCAAGATGCATATAACAATCCAAGAACAAGAGATCTTTGCCAGAATTGATAAGATGCACTACATGCTACAAGGACTTCCACTGCCCGTCCTGTAGCTCAACTAGCCATTTCAACTGAGCAGTTCTTCAAGAAGGTAAAGTTTGTAAATATTCTCTCTGGAAATCCAAATGGAGATACAGTGAGTCGATGCATTAAAAGCATCCTGAATGTTATGATCAGTTCCATTTGAGCAATGAATCAAACAAAGTCCCTCTATGAATTTGTTTGTGGTGACGAGATACTTGATTCAGATTTTGGGTATTCATAATTTACACATATATAATAGATCATAAAATACTGTTAGGGCTGGACGATATTGCCAAAAATGTTATCACGATAAAAAGTTTCATATCTTTCTATATAGATAATTATCACACTAAGTATCAAATTGTTATTTCATTTGAGTTTAAAGGTTGATTTTTGCTCCTGAGTGAAGAAACCTGATGGTTAATTGTATTTTAAACACTTGATGCCAAACAGTGGATCACTTCACAAATCTAACATTCAAAACAATTCTAAAATCTTTATGCATAAAATATGCACGAGTAAAAAAGTAAAAGCTTTTTCAGTCCATTTTCCTCAACAAAATAAACAATCTAAATAATAATATTATTAAGTCCTAATTTGTGTATGATTCAAGTGAATAAAATCAAAAATTATTATATTGATAATTATTATAAGCGATAATTATTGTTATTGTTTTATTGTCCAGCCCTAAATTCTATTATGTTTTAGGATGTACCACTCACCGGTGTGGTTTAAGACAGTCAAGGAGGGATAATGATACATCGTCCCTGTTTAAACGTCCCTTTTTAACCTGAGGCTTGTCCTTGTTCCTTGTTAAATCTTTTTAATTTAATTTATTGTTGCTTGTTGTTTTTTTGTATCAAATGGAAATAAATCCCCCAGAGTCTTGTGTCTTACCTCTCTCCAATCCTTCAAATGTCTGGTTGAGATCTAGTGACTGCAAAGGCTGCAACGTGTGATTCCATCTGTACTTTACCTGATAATGAGCTAAAAATGCCAATTACAAAAATTGTCCAACATGCATCTTTTTGCAAACAAAATTAAATTGCTAGACAGAAAGTACTTGGGCAGAAAGTAGTATTTGGGTGGAATATGAAACTTAAAAATGCAGTCATCCAATTCACCAGGTGGCGCTGTTGTGAAAAACTAGGGTCCATGAAATGCGGTCCTGAAACTGTAGCCTCTATTGCAGTACTAATCTTAAAAAGTAGGCAGAAGTGCACAAGCCACCATTGAAGTGGGATCTCAGCTGTAAGCCTGCTCACTCAAAAATACTATAGTGGCTTTCACTTTTTATCTGCTTTTGCCCATGTTTTTGCAACATTTATACCAACTTGAGTCCATTTTAACAGACCTAAGATGTCCAGATATAGTCAAAGCTATTAGAAATATTAGAAGCAATTTGATAAGTCGATGGTTTTGTTGACAATCTAACAATAGAAGTGGATTTCCTTATTTCCAATTTTTCACACCTGGTCTGATTAAATATAGTACTTTGGTGCATTTAAAGCTGCTTTGCAGAGCCAGCGTGCACCTGGTGCAGCATCAGACATGATGAGGTCCCAAAACTTCTTTAATACTGTAAGTAAAATAAACATTAGAATTCTTTTCTGTATCCATACCTAAATTGTGATTAGGAGCAGCTACAGGCCATATGCAGCTTGTGCATGATCTCACCACAGTAATAAGAGGACACAGTTAATAGAGGATAAAACTGAAAACGTAAAAACATGGGGAATATCAAAATATAAATTTGGAGGTGGAATGGATTTGAATCTGTTTCAAATGAAAACTTCCATCTCTTTTCTAATTGTCATGCAAAACTGCTTAATCACCTTTTGACGTGTGAAGTGTAGGACCGGTGGAAATAGATTAGCATTTCCATGTGCTATAGATGGGGACAAATTAAAGGGAAACACCTCAACAGTGGAGAAACATGGTGTTCTTCCCTCCAATACAGTGCCACAGCTCTGGACCTGTTGTGCAGGCTCGTGTTGACCTGACTCCATATTAAGACACTTAATGTTGGGTTCTCCTTTAATTTGTCACCCATCTGTACTTTGTGTATTTAAGCAGCTTTTACTTTAAATGATGTAATGAGGTTAGGGAAGAGGCTGTTAAAGAGCTCGTCCTTGATTCAGAGGTTTCCTAGAAGAACAAACAACCTCTTCCCTGGAGTGAGTATTGTAGTGAGCTAAAGTAAACTCGTACTCAACTTTTCTGTGTCCTTAAAAACTTCTGTCTAGTCCACCATAAGGTAATTGGTTTTATATCAAATCTGTGTATGGTTTGTTCTTTCATTATTTTGTTTCAAAACTAAATCGGAAAAAAACCAAAAAAACAAGTCATTTTTAGTTTTTTCTGGTTTAAAACAAAAACAGATAAACAGAAAAGAAAACAAACAAACATATGTTTTTGTTTTCTGTTTGTTGATTTAAACAAACAAATAGGCCTTCTGTTATGAACTAGATCTCTCAGTTTCTTGTTTGTAAAATAGAAGAGCAGACAGTTGAATACTGGTGACTAAAGAGTCAAGGAAGACCAGAGACCAAAAACATTTTTAATTATGTTAATTTCCTTTACCCACCACCACCTTCCCCTGGGAACAGGCACACATAAAATGAACAGAAACCATTATTATACCCAGTTTTCAATACTATTTTCCTATGTTACAGGTTCTTTAGTCACAACCCCAATTACTGTCCTGTCTGTACCTGGAAAGATCTCATTTATAACCATGATGTTCCACAGTAATTATTAACAGAGAGCCACTGTGCCCCTATTTTGCGCCCAGTGCTCATTTGCATGTTAATTATCATTAGCAGCACAGGAAAACATGTCAAGGCAGTTAAATCAGCAACCTTATCTTTAGTTTCTCCTCCGCCATACCTTAGATGTTTTCAGATGATGTCCTTTGTTTTTTTACTTGAGATCACAAGCTTTCACCTTGGTCGTTAACATTTTGCTCACAAACTCTGCTTTAATAGAATTGAAGTTGTAACTTAACCAAGTGGCTTAATGCTTTTGGGCAAGATCAACAGTAAAAGAAATATGTCGGTCACATTATTAATACATTTGCCAGCAAAGCTTTCATGGGCCTCCTGAACTGTTGTTAAGTTTTAGTTTTTGCCAGCTATTAAAGGTCTGTAAATCAGGACTTTAATATGATTAAAGCAAGAAACACAATTAACAGCTCCAAGAAGACCAACAATATGCACAATATGCAGGTGCTTTTAAACATTTAAAAATGATGTTTTTAAATCATGAGATAAGAGAATTATACAGACAAACTACGCTGAGAAGTTGAGCAATGATTAAAGTAACCAATGGGTTATAATGGACCTGCACAGTGTACAGATGATTTACATGAAAAACATCATGTAATCTAATGTGACACATCAAGTGTTATTTGTAATGGCTATTTAATTACTATATTTTGTTGTGTTTTCTTGTGTGTTTCTAAGTTTTGTTATTTAGAGAATTCTGGGTAAATAGTTTGAGAATTAAGGCTTTGGGCAGATTTTTTGTTGGTTAGTGACTTACAGCAGAAGCTTGCTTTACTTACAGTAAACACAAAATGCATATTATTTATCATAAAACTGTGATAGATAACACGAGCTTCATAATAAAGGTCATCATTTGGCTTTATATATTTCCAGGTTAAACTGAGAGGAATTTCATGAAGGAACACTTCCCTGCTGGGCTGATACCAATGGAGTTTTGCAAGACAGGTAAAACTTATTTATTCTACATAGGATAGTCCTCAGTAATGTGTGTTTCATCATAAAATGATGAAAATCAATGACACTTTTGCACTTAAGTGTTAAATGTGTTTGAAAATTGTTTTCTTTTGCCACAAGATGGCAACAGATTACTGTTGGAGCTCTTTCACACAGAGAAAAGGTTACTTTACCTAAACCATTGTTACTTAAAATTATAATATCCATGTTTAGTTACACATATTATTTTCAACAACAACAACTGTAAGGTAAAGCCTTAACAGCTAAAGCTTTTTAACAAGCTAAACAGACAATAAACCACACACATTTTAGGTCATCAGCTGTGTAGCAGGTGGATGGTGGAGAATATTTACGTGTATTGTAACCATATTGGCTCTCTTAACCTGTGGATTCATGTGGGGTGATATTATGCAAAAATGTCCTAGATGTTAGATTTTTTTAAATATCAGAACTGGGGTTCTTTATAGCTAAAATCAGTCAATTGGCTGTGATGTTATCTGTAACAATGTTTACTAGGGCAAGATTTAGAAACTAAAGTTAATTCTTGGTGCTGGGTGTACCGGTGACTTACTGTAACATTTCCCAAATTTTCTGCTGTCACTGTGGTATACTTTTGTATTTATATTGTTGGATAACCATATAGGGTCCTCAGAACAGCTACAGAGCTCCTTTTTCATGACATTATTTTGATTTACCCCAATAAGATGCAGATGGGCATATGACACTGTCAGGGATGGTAGTACATGAAAAGGGATTTGTCAGAAAATAGCCTTATTTTATTCTACAACACAAAAATCTGTGTTGAGATTTTCTTTGACTAGAAACAGACCATGTCTCAGCAAAGGCTGGCTGAGCCTCGGACAGCAGCAGGTGTGAAGTTTCCAGTCCATGTACTGAACCCAACAAGCGGTAATGTTGAACAAATGTAACCTTTCAGCCTCTCCTGTGCTGCGATGAGATGTTTTTGGCAATTTGTAGAATTCCTGGATGGCTCTCCCTGACTTTGCTTTGACCCTTGTCCATCTGTTACCATATCCAAGGTTAGAAGGCAACCGAATATTACACATGTTGTTGGCCTCAGGGTGTGGGCAAAATGTTTTTGGGTGTGAGATGGATGCTGGGATGAACCATGAGGTTAGACATTTGACCTATGCATGGACCTTTCAAGTTGAAGCACAGTTGAACCTGTATATGGAATGCAGTCATTTCATCTCTAGGGCTTTAACATTTGAATTATTCAATCAATGCCTGGTATAACAGTGTCTAAATAAAGATACAACTGACGTATAATTCCAGAAATTTTAAACAACAAGAAAAACAAGAAAAAAATAAATACATTTCTATTTATTAAGTGCTACTCTATGCTACTCCAATATTAGTTGTGGCTTGATAGCCAGGTTGGGTTTGCTGCTGGGAAATGGACTTTAAAACGCAGCAATGGGAAGAAGCTGTTAAGTGGCCCCTGTGCATCGGCTCTGCCAATGCATGTGACCAGTGTTTAGCACCATTTTGGTTCTGAAGAACATGATTTAAGTGTGCCAAGTGACAACTGCAGTGACTTCATGCCAGACATCCTCCAACTCGCCCATAGCCTTTCACTTTGCACCCCCGGGTGTGCTAATCACCTCCTTCAAATAGGGCCATGAGATCACAATCACATTTTCTTGTTGTAAAAGACCACTGTAAATGAAAAGAGCTGCAGGTGTGATGTCGTGTTAGTGACATTAAATGTGTTCACTTGTCCCCCCCTTGACTTTTTCAAACAGGATTATTGGCTGTATAAAGATACTGGCTAATTCAGTAATTTACAGTTTAATATAGAAGTTTTATTTTCTTTCATATGTACATGTGTAGTTCCACTTGAGTTCTTATTTCATTGTTATTTTTATTAAATGCTCTACTTAGTAAGTTTCAGCACTGTGCACATGACATGGCGGCACGTCTGTTTTTGCGTCCTGGGATTTGGTAGTGCCATGTGCTATTTTAGCATCCACTGGTGCTGCAGTGCAGTCAAACTTTAATATCAGCACAGTGGAAGTGGACAGTATTGAAAATATGAGGTTGTTTTTTTTTACTTTTAGTTGTGCTGTTTAAAAAGTTGTACAGCGGAGCAATGCCCTATTAAAGTATTACCGTCTATGGAGAAAATAGTACCTTTATCGACATAGGCTCAATAGCCTTGCTGATGTCATCATCACCCTGTGTGCGTGTGTGTGTGTACAATGAAACAGACTATTCCAGTGTGGGCATCAGGGGACAAAGTAGTCTTTATGCGGTGTGCCGAGCTCTAAGGCAGAAACATTGTTGAGCAGTAAAACATTCTGTAACTGAAACCACATGTTCCCGAGTGGAGGACAGACAAACACAGGCAGCCTCTGCAGCTCCACATCAGGAGTTGGTGCCCTATCATCAGGGGCTCAGGGGCTCCTTTTTGACTCCAATGCAACACTCTTGTTCAACATTGTGCATTTTAAATGTATCAGGAAATTGTATCAAATTAAGAGCAGACAAAAATGTTGCGGGATGATGCAGGTGAGAGAAGACAACAAAGGAAACTGAACATGTCATTTTCTGCTGAATCATTTAAAAAAAAATTCTTCTGGTTAAATAAATTTACACTTTACTTACCTTTGATGATCTACTATGATATTAAACGTGTCTCACTGATGACACCCTGTGGCTCACAGACACAGAACATGCCAAACATAACAGCCAATCAGCCATGGAACAATTGTGTCAAGGACACCATTATTGAACTGCTGGAGTTGGCGGGAAAAACACTTAATATGCTTTTCATGCAAGATTACATTTACTCATTTAGCTGATGCTTTTATCCAAAGCAACTTATAATTGTGTCAGAGGTCGCACACCTCTGGAGCAACTAGGGGTTAAGTGTCTTGCTCAGGGACATAATGGTGGATGCGACACAGTGGGGAATTGAACCCAGTTCTCTCAAACCAAAGGCATGTGTCTTATCCACTGCTCCATCACCACCACACCCAAATTGTTGAATACAGTCTTGTTTACCAGTTGCAGATTGGGGCTGTAAATCTTCACTGACTGAAACAAGATCAAATGAGCAGTAGGCTTGCCGCGGTAGTCAGGGTTAAACAGTGTTACATGATGTTAAGGCAAAGACAGATTACAGTACTTCCCCACTGTGCCCACCATTGTTTTTCTTTAATAATCTGGTGGAAATTCGTTATACTGAAAAAAAATGTAAGCATGTAAAGATCTTTTTTATATACAATCTATGGTAATGCAGTCTACTAACCTGCACTTGACAAAACACCACAAAGCCATGTAAAATAGTTGCACGGCTAAAACTGACTAAAATGTTTGAAAGCGTGACTCCATTTGAACATACTTCAAAACAGCATGTGGAAATTACTCAAGCAGTAACATTGCGAAAAATATGATGCTCCTCAATACGGAGACCAAGCCTGGGTTCATATTAATGTTTAAACCAGGCTTAATTAATTAATTAAAATTTCAGTTTGAAATCTTGTTTACAAGGCTGGAAGTTCAACAAAAATATACTACTGTGATTGAAGTAGTTTAATAAAAAAAATGTATCACCTAATTTCATCATAATATATTGGTCTGGCTTCACAAACGTTTGTTTAATCTATCTAATATTGTGTTGGTCATACTATACAATGATGTACTGCTTTTCTTTGTTGAATAATACAGAAGACAAAAAAGGTTTAAAACATCACATATTAAATTGAAATCGCAATATTGGTAAAACAAACAAAAAAAATCACAATTACATTATTTTCCAATATGCAAAGCGAACAGTTGTAGCTGCCAATAGCCACTAAAGCAGCTAAAACGGCAGTCTACAGCTAGCTAATGTTAACTAGTGAAGTTGAAAAGGCAGCTAATCATCCTTTCATTCACTCTTCTGATGTTTTTTTTAATTTTTAATTTGTGATGTATTTGCAAAGAAACATTATAAAGCTAGCCTGTTAAACCTGGTCAGCTTGTGCTGCATCCACAGTGGCTGCAGGAAATGAAAGCTTGCTGAGCTGACGTTACTTTTTCATAGACAATGTGAACTTGCCTACGTAGGAACAGTGATTACATAAACTTCAAAATGAGACACAACTTAACCGTGTGCGTGCATGGGTACGCTCCGGTACTAAAACATATAACACTGCACATCTGTGAACTGAAGGTGGCAGCATATGGAGCCCTCATCTCTAATATACACACACACTTTCAAGCGCACCACAAGAGTGAGGCTGCCTAAATGGGCCCCTCAGCGCTCTACAGATATTGAGCATCATTGATGAATATCTTCTCATGTGAAAACAATGCAAAGACCATTTGATCCAAAAAATCCTTCCAAAACTCCCCAAACATTTTCCATAGCCTCTTTGCATTTTAAGGTGGATAATTGTTAACAGAGCTATTTATTTATTAGCCAGCTACTGTTTTTGCTTAATGTTGGGTGTGTAAATTATTGGAAAACTTGTCAGTTGTGGTGTTTTCCTTCACAAAACTCATGCATGCTGGAGCTGCTGATTCACTTCTTTTGTTCAGTGTTGTTTCCATTCTTCTCCCAGTCCAAAACAGTTTTACAATTCCCTCATAGAGATCTTACCGAATGAGCACTGTGGTAATTAGGTAGGAGTTAATTTTCAATTGATTCCCCACCCTTCTCAGATCATTATGTGCTCTATCTAGAAATTATTTAAAGTACTGGTGCCTCCTCAGGAGGTCAGCCCTAATTAAAGGGACAGTGTGCCACATTAGCCATGCATGGAGTCAAGCCGGTAACAGAATTTAGATCACTCAGCCCCCAAGGTTAAGGCTGAACCCTTGACCTAGACCCAGTGCTCCCATTTTCCTCTTTCTTCTAATACTTGCTCATACCTTCTTTACTCAGCTTAGCTGAATGCCTGCCCATTTATACCTGAACAGCCCCAAACAGTGTCTCATTTTTTTCTCTCCATCTCTCTGTGTTGCCTTATCAGTGTTTCATTTGTGTTAGATGAAGGTCATGAGGTTAGACAGTAATCAAAAGACAGAAGATACATCACACAGCTGTGCATGCAGTTTAATGGTTAATAGCCAGCCAAT